GGGCCAGCAGGAGTCCCCTTTAATCAGTCACTGGGAGCCACCGTCCATCTGTAAATGGGGCACGGTGGACAGATTCTTGCCTTACCATAGGGCTGTTCTTCCACAGCTGGGATTTCTGGCCTTATTCTCAGGAAGGGTTAATGCAGCAAAGAAAGCTATTAGAGAACCTGGGGATCTGCTTACACAGACAGGAACTAATTGCAGCAGTAATTCATTCCCACCACACTATGATTTGTGCTCACTCACCTTACCATGAACTCAGAAGAGGCTGCTGGAGCAGAGTCCCGGCCTGCAATCAGATGTTATACTTAGTGCAACCATCCCTCTCTCTTACTACCATAGAGAGTTACCCCCAAGGATTACACTGCTTGGTGATAAATACCTGGAGTAGGTTCCCTATTATCATACTATTTTCTATGCTGGGGAAACCAAACATTCAAACAAAAAACAAACTTGTTTACTGAAATGCATTAACCATCTCTTTTGGCCCAGCAATCATAGGTGACAGAATTCTGGGGATACAGTTGATTTGTTGAGTGTCTTCTGTGTGCCACTCACCAAGGATTCCAGGGCAGGGCAGAGCAGAACTCGGTGGAAGTTTTCCCTGCAGACAGAGATTTACAGCCTAGATGATGGAGGTGATGAAGGACTGTGGCAAGAGTTAGGGTAGGAGAGGGAGTGTGTGGAAGTACACAGCAGGGAAAGGGAGCAATCTGCGTGGGTGGGAAACCCTCTCAGAGAAAATGGCATCTTTGCAAAGATCTGAAGGGGGCGTGGGATTGGGAAGTGTGGGTAAAATTGCAGTATTTCTAGAATCTCTCGACTGGCTTTAGAGCATCTCTGTATCAGTGGGTAATTACCTAGGCAAGCAAGGGTTTATCTGGACCTGAGAGGATGGGGGGAGGATTCACTCACTTCTGCTGGAGCAGGAGAGAGAGATGTCGGATGGCCATTTGTAAGCAATTCATTTTTTTTTAATAAATGAAACTTTATTTGAAGAATATTCTTAAAATTATAAGGCTAAATTAGCTTACTTATGTTAGGCAGGAAAATAGATATGAGTAGGGTGGAATGAGAAAAAGGGCAGAAAGTCCACTAAAAGGACCCAAAATTAATCAATCAAAGCTCAAAAAGTCAAAAGCAACTTGGCCTGGAAGGTTTGAATATTTCCCAGATAAACGAAGGTACCTCAGCATAGCCCATGTCTTTATTGTGTTAATCATGTAGGCCTAGTTTACTTTTTAACCTTTACCTATATGTGTTTTTTTTATCTCCTTCCAGCCCTAATTAAGTAGTTTGTAACCTACGCACCTAATTTAGCATATTTCCCCTGCAGCTATTGGATACACATGGGGACAACAATTTTAGTATCAGTCATTGATACAAAGCTTCTTCATAGTTAACTGCTTCATTTTATTATTATTTGCCCACTTAGCAGTTATGTACATCACTACTTAAGAGAGTGTTTCAATTTTGAGTCTACTTCTGCTCAGGTAATTTTTTAAATGTTTATTGAAATTAAGGTCTATCTACAAACATGTATATCTTTTTATTAATACTAATAGAAATATCACTATAACATACATAATATATAACTTATTTAAAATATATTTAATATCCAAAAAATCTGGTAATTTTTATAGCTTTAATATTGGTCCTGTACCTTTTTATTCTAATGTTTTATGGATTTTATGATTTTTAATGTTTTTCTTTTCTTTGATGAACATCTGTGTTATAGTTTGGGGCTAGAG